GGAACCCTCCCCCTGTTAGATATGGTGTCTTAGGTACCAATGATATTATTGATACGCAATTACATTCAGCCATGCTAGGGGTACACCAAATGTGTACCCCATTTGTCCACACCTCCTTCTCCACCATTCATTTTTATCTACTTTTTATTTATTTAATTTTTTTAAAATTTTTGCCCATTTTTGTAGTAATGGAGGAAGTGGGGGACTAATGGGGTACAGCAAAGGTGTACCCCTAGCATTTTTCAATTACATTTGCTTTTGTTTTGTACTCCCAAAAGAAAGGAGAATCAAAACCGATAACAGTTTAGTCCTACATATATTTTTTTTGGACCATGCTACACTTACACCAAAAAATATACCCCATTTGTACACCGCAGGTTTGCACATACATTTCGATGGTTTACACCGACACAAGTGTTGGTGCGTTAATAAAAATTCACACGGACACAAATGTTGGTGCGTTTAACAAAAATTACTTTTACACCAACACAAAGTGTTGGTGCGAAACTGCGGGGTACAAATTGGGGTACAAACCTTGGGTACACATAGCATAATCCATTTTTTTAAAAAAACATGTTTTCTGCTGTTTAGGTTGTAGTAGTTGGCAAAGAACAATTCCCAGTAGAAGTTAAGGAAGATGATCTTATCATCGGCAGCCGGAACGAAGAACTCTTCATGGCTCTGTACCAGCTAGAGCTTCTACTCCCAGAAGACGATGACCCTGAGGGACCCATCTCACTCCCTGATATACTCATCGTTGAAACTGAAGATGAATCCATCGACGCCGATCTTCTTGCCGCCGGTCCAATTTCCCGGCCGCCGCCCACTCTGTGCCCCGCCAAGTCACTCTGCGCTCTAACACCTTTGTGGTTCCTTCTAATTATGGCTTCGTCGTTCTCCTGGTCGCTTTCCGCGTTATCCGCCCTGGTTCCTTGATCGCCGGAGGCCGTTAGGTTGCCGTCGATTTCGACGGCGAAGGCAGATCCGCCGGTGACTGGGGCGCGGCACATGGGGCAGTTCTTGTGTGACCTCAGCCAGGTGTCGATGCAAGAAACGTGGAAAGCGTGGCTGCATTTGGGCAGCAGGCGGAGGATCTCGCCTTCTTGAAATTCCGTTAGACAAACGGAGCAATCCGACCATTCCGTTAGCCCCTCTCCCCTCTTGTACCTGAACACCGTTATCGATTCGATAACGGACGCCGGGAGGCCGACGGTTCTGATGTACCAGACGGGATGGTCCACCGGCGGCGCCCGATCCCCGTCGAGGAAATCCTCCCGGGATCCCTGAGGCGGCGGCGGCTCCCTCCCGAGAATCCGCTGATCCAAACGGTACCGTTTCAGGATAGTGACGTAGCAGAGGAAGACGAAAGCGGCGGCGAGGAGGCAGAGCAAGAAGATCAAATAGGGAGGCATGTGGTATTTCAGGCCGGAGGGAAGAACCG